CTCCCATCGTGGTGGTTTGGTAAAGGACTGAAAAAAACAATCGATAGCTCAATTTTGTCACATTTAATTATTGATAGTGGTCGTGAAGTGGAGAAAACGAAAGCTTTCAAGGTAATTCATCGTATCCCACCGAATCTTTCCAATAGACTTCGTATTTGTCTACTGAACACAGCTGAGGCAGGCGATAGGCATTCGAAATATTAAACCTTAATTAATTAATTACGAGTGGTTAAAACTTAGATAACTCGACGAAGACGAGCTGTAATTGTTGATTATATCGAGAAATCCGTATCGGATACACACGTGCGTTCCATGTCTCATCAACGGATTGATATTTAACCAAAAAATACAGAAGAGCTGTTTCGTCCTAGTTTCCCACTCTTCATCAATGTGCACCTATAACTTCAACAAGGGATCGGACTTGTGAGGTCAGACTTGTAGACGATCATTTCTTTTTGCAACCACTTGGAATCGGAATTCATTCAGCGGTCGTCTCATGAATTCTAACTTTAGTTTGCATCCCCCTGAGTGGAACACAAACGTTTGTAACAACAAGCTTCAGTTTTGAAGTGTTCCAGCAGCCACGATGTAGTTAGTTAGTTATTTAATTAGTCTAACCCTAATCCAACCACCTCTCTTTCTACCGAGCTTATTAATAAGCAAGGCTAAGCAAGGTGGTTTCTGCCTGTCTGGATTCAACATAGAACTCGGCACCGGAGTGCACCAGTTTGAGTAGCCATGTTCCAAATACCACACAAAGGAAGACAAGAATATGAGTGAAGAGAATCAATACAGTCTGACAAGTATAAGAGTGAAACAGAATGGGTAATGGTAGAAAGGAATATGAAAGATTACAGAGACTGAATACATCTGCACTGGCCATTGACAACGATTTTGAGCCATGCCACCTATTGTCTCCAGCCATTGATTCCTAGAGTCCCGAGGCCCCCAACCCGGAAGTCTGCATCTCCCTACCTGACTGACTCAGTTTAACTGTCAAGGATTTCATGGATTGATGAGGTCATGTTTTTGTTTGGCCACCACTTACTCTTATCCAACCTGCACCTATATCAGCTAGTAATGCCCATCGGGGGAGGCGATGGTTAGGCATGCGCAGCACATGACCTAGCCATCTCAGTCTATGTAACTTTATAGCCTCGTCGATTGATTTTCCCTCTTCGCCCAACACTCTACGCCTAACGTCAACATTACTTACCTTATTATACCACATAAGGTTATAAAAAGATCATAGACATCTATGATCAAAAACAGTCAACCTTTTCATGTCTTCAACTCGTATTGGCCATGTTACAGAGCCACAGAGAAGGACGGAACGAACTACTGAGCAGTACACACGTCCCTTGGTTGATAACCGGATGTCACGCCTACGCCAGAGATGGTGTAAGTCAGCGAAAGCAGCTCGAGATTTTCGGATCTATGCTGATATTTCGTCGCCAATCAGTCCGTTGGTGCTGATAAAACTTCCCAAATAGGTGAAGTGGTCAACATGTTCTAACACTTCACTCCCTATCACTAAGCTAGGAGTTGACGTAGTCCAGTCCTGTAGCAGCATCTTACATTTTGCAGGGACGAATCGCATGCCAAACATACGAAGATTATTGCTCGAGGTGTTCAGAAGACTCTGCCTTTTGTCAGCATTCTCCCCTAACAGGACTATGTCATCTGCATATTCTAAGTCCATAAAACTATACCCTGGTAACAAGTCGATTCCTAAGTCATTACGTTCAGTTAAGGATACTTCCATTAGCATATCTATGATGAAGTTAAACAGAATTGGGGAAAGTAGATATCCCTGCCGGCCACCACTGGTTGTTACCAATTCAGATGACAATTCCCCATAAGCCCTTACACGACTACGTGAGTTTGAATAGAGTGCCTTGATTAGTGCAATGTACTTTCTTGGCACTCCCTTCACAGTCAGACATTGCCATAGTACCTTTCGATCCACGGAGTCGAAGGCCACCTTCAAGTCAAGAAATATGACAATTGTTGGACACCGAAAAGTGTGTCTATGTTCTAGAATCTGTCGAAGAGTAAAGATATGATCTATGCACCCTCTACTTGGTCTAAAGCCTGCTTGATTTTCCCTCATTTGTTCCTCCCGAGTTCTGCTTAGTGTGTTCATGATTACTGAGCCTAGGATTTTAGAAACTATGTTCGTTAGGCTGATCCCCCTTTGATTATCACACGAGGACTTGTTTCACACCAACGGTACACATTAATATATACTCACCCTATGTCAGCTAACATTGCCTGTCGGAAGAGGAAGGCGACGACTAGGCATACGTAACACATGTCCTAACCATCTCAGTCGATGCAGCTTCACAGTCTCGTCGAATGATTTCCCCTGCTTACCTAGAACTCGACGCCTAACCTCAATATTACTCACCTTATTATACCACTTTACACAGGAGATAGAACGCAGACACCTATGATCAAAGACAGCTAATCTTTTCATGTCTTCCAGTCTCAATGGCCAGGTCTCACAGCCGGCCATAAAGGAGGACGGAGCGGACTGATGAGCAGTACACACGCCCTTTGTTTGATAGTCGGATATCTTGTCTACGCCAGAGACGGCGTAAACTAGCAGACGTGAAACGAGCCCCCTGTATCCGTGCTGAGATTTCGTCAGAGATCAACCCGTTGGCACTGGCTGATGATACTTCCCAAATAGGTGAGGCGGACAACGTACTCTACCACTTCACTCCCTATTTCTAATCTAGGAGTCAGTGTAGTCCAGTCCTGTAACATCATCTTACATTTCACGACGGGAGCGAATCGCATGCGAAACATCCGTAGATTGCAGCTCAAGGTGTTTAGGACAGTCTACGATAAAGACAATAGCAACAACAACAACAACAACTCCACTGTTGACCGCCGTGTATGTACATGTCTTAGACGAACAACGGAAGGAGAGGCGAAAGGGAGAAGAAGACAAAATAAGTTGAAATTGATAATGTAATTTTATACAAATACAAACACGTGCATACGTGAGTGTGAGTGTCTGTCTTTCTGTCTGTAGGTGTGTGTGTGTGTGTGGTGTATGCTCTTGCAGCATTTGCTTACGTGCACACGCCCACGCACACACACACACATATATATATAAGTATTGAATCATTTAACCAAAAAGGGGAAAAATTTAGATAGATAGATACAGAGACGAAGAATAATGATAGTGATGGTGTGTGTGTGTGTGGGTGTGTGTACGTGTGATAATAGCTAGCAATAGAATTAATAACAATAATAATAAAAGTAATTGTAGTAATGGTTGCAATAGTAACAATAGTAATAATAACAATACTAATCATAATAATAATAATAGTAACCATAATTTATAAGATATTTGAATATATATATATATCGTTCAATTTCATTCCATGTCACATAATAATAGTGATAGTAATAATAATAACAACAATAATAATAATCTGACACAAGTGGATGAGTATAGTTCGTACAAAACGCAGAAAGAAGTGAAAGAGGCAGAAGAGAGAGGGAGGCTAGAAGAGTAGAAACGGAAGAGTAGTAAATGAGACTATATACCATATATATATATATATGGATATATATTTGTATGCCTTGTGTAGATAGATAGATAGATAGATACATAGATAGGCTAAAGAATACTCTCAACGGGACAACAAATGTATTCTCTCACACAATACACACATACATAATACGAACGGCAGAACTGGAAGGAAAGAGAGAAGACAAGAAGAGATCATAATTGCGCTAACGATAATAATAATAATAATAACAATATGAGAAAGAGATATGAGATCGATCGATATATGAGGGAAAAAAGATTGAGTACTCATCTCTATCATTTAGTCGGTTGTGTATAGAAATCCAAATTCGAAGGGAAAAAAAACTCCAATCAATCAACCATAGAAAAGAAACAAGAAACTGTAGGAGAAAAAAGGAAAGAAACTCTACAATACACAAGCAAAACAAAAAACAAATCGATTCACTTCCCCTTCCCCCCTTGCTTGTGTGGTCGAGGATAATTTTCAAATCGATCGATGAAGATGAATGATTAAGTGTTTCTGTGTGTGTGTGTGTGTGTGTGTACAAGGCGTTTTCACAAAGAGAGAGAGCAGTGTCTGTGCGAGGGGGGACAGAGGGTGGTACCATGAATCAATCAATAAATTACATATGTAATAATATTTTTACAGGAATACTATATAGTATATGTGCTTTCTTCTAAAGCAGTAAATTATCACACTTACACACACCCACACACATCCGCTCGCTCCTGCAATAATGTGTGTTGTATATGCAAATATGAAATTACTTACACACAGGTGTGTATAGAGAGATAGAGAGAGGGTGATAAAGAAGCAAAGACGGTGTTCTCTTTGATTCGTATAGTAAAGAACGCAAGACAATAGCACAGAGTAAACGGCTGACGAATTATAGAGAAAGAGGGAGAGAAGGAGAGAAATATGAATAATATATATGTATATGTATATATATATGTGGTATGTTAAATCAAAGATTTTTTCACAGCTGTACACACAAAACAACACATTCTATGCTTGTTTCTTCTTCTTCTCTTCTTATGTAACCACCAACACCAACAGCAACAACATGAAACCAACAACAACAACAACAACAACAAAAACAGGATCTCCTCTTCAGTTTGGCGTCGTTGCTTTTTGTTTAACATGGAATTTGATAGCGCAATGTGAATCAATACCAATAATTAGCACAGCATAACAAGACAATAGAGCATCAACCAGCATAGGATGGGATCGATGGGTGAGTGTATTTTGTTCTGGAGGCGTAGCAGCAGGAGTAGGAGTAGTAGACGTTGCAACAGCGGTGACAATAGTAGTGGTAGCAGTAGTTCTTAGGACGGTAACGGTGCAAAATAGTATTTGCAGCTAGTAGTTAATGTGGCAACAATAATAATAATTATCATTTCTATATATATATATATATATATATATATATATATATATATATATATATATATATATATATATATATATATATATATTGGAGAGTAGAGCAAGTTGGAAATAAGAACTCTATTTTATAATATTATACAGTAGCGTCTTCGTCATATACTCTCTCTCTCACATGATAGTGTCATCGCAGAAATATAGAAAGAAGGAAGCAGCACTCACTCTATCAATATGCACAACGCCCACACATTCATTTTTAAGTGAAGAAAGAAAAGAAGGAATATCATAGACAGACAGACAGAGGGAGAGAGAGGGAGCTGATGCTTGTGTTTCACAAGATAATACACTGACGACAAGAAAGTAAGACAGGAACACAACAATAATCACAAGAGAATATAAAAGGAGAACTCAAGAATGCGGGAGGGGAAGAGGCGGAATAAGAGGACGAGAGCAACAACACACGACCACCGGGATATTTTTTGGATTAGAAAGAATACGCACGCACGCGCGCACACACACACACACGCAGAAAACACAAGAGTAATCAATGCATATATATGCAGAGAGAGAGAGAGAGATAGTACTTATTGCACAAAGGGAATCAAGGCGCCAGGTGTGTGTGTGTGTGCGTGTACTGCATATTCATCACACACATGTGTATTGAATTAATCAAAATTGGCTAAAATAAAAATCGACATTTGACGAGCGACTGAGAGAGGGAGAGACAGAGAGAAGATGAAGAAATTGAATTTTACCCTGAATATTTTCTCTGTAGAATGATGAGGAATAATAAAATATAGCAAAAAGAGGAAGAAGTGATGCACAGACGGATTGTAAGTGAGTACAGTCAGTCAGGCTTGAACAATGTGAGACAATAAGTATAGCTGGTGGGGTGGGGAGTGGGGGAAGGAAAGTTCTCCTATGAAGACAACTCAACTCAACTCAACAAACAAACAAAATAAAGAAGGAACGGAAGAGAAGATTTTGCTTTTGCTGCCTATTACATAATAATAATATTGTGGTAGGCGTACACAAGATTTCATCATCATCGTCACTATACGATTGTTCTCCTTACTAGAGCCAGCAATAAAATAAATAATCGATTTCTTCATCACCATCATCATTAACGTCATCAGAGAGGATTATGCATCAAGCGCATGTGCAAGCGCCTCACCGGTGGAGACAGATTCAGCAACTGAAAAAAACAAAACGACGAAGAAAAAGCAGAAAAAAAAACATTACTCATTATAGATACTTTAAAAAGACGCTAAAAATGACTACTTATCAAATAAATAATATACGGTCATACTTGGCCAAAAAAAATGTTGAGAATTCCCAGACAAGAATGAAACAATCTGTCCAGTACTGTCTGTCTGCAGGTTCTTAATAGCAGTGATGTATCAGGTCGTGATCTAACTTGATTTGATCACAGTGTAACAACAGAAGAGACAAGGGCCAGGAAAGAGATCATTTATCAATGAAATCAACACATATTTATAGATTTTCATTTACATTATTATTGATTATTTTTAGCAGAAAAACAGTCTTCTGATTGGTTGTTTCTCACTGAAAGTTAACCTTTCATCTCTTTGTGGCTGTTTCTTGAATGTCAGATCATCTATATGTTAACTATATCCACCTACGCGAAGCCTTTGTTCTCATTTTTATCACAATCAATATTGGGGACAAAAACACTGACGTAAATTACTGTCCACCAATTTTGGCTAGCAGCCAGCTCTCACCACAACAGTAGTCTAGTGGATAATGATTTGGTGCTTGAAACGATAGGTACTGGCGGGGGGAGGGGTACTGAAAATACTTGGTCTGTGCCAAATAAAGGACTAGACGCATGATACTAGTTATGAACTAGTGTCTTTCAAATCAAAGTATTCACGAGCCAGAATACCTGAATGACATCGGTTTGAATCTCAGGGGATGGGGAAGAGATATGAATTCCTTCAAGACTGAAGATACTACACTTTACTGACGAGTTTGGTTGACAACAAGAACGAAACCTAGATGCAGAGTTCCCTCCTGATCACCTTCAACACATGTGATAACATCTAACTAAATGTGTTCATTATTGATTTTGTGAATAACTCTGTTCTAAGTCCACATATTATTCCATTTATAGGTAGTTTCTAGAGTGTACCAGCTACCCAGTTCCACAGGAAGTAAGTGACCCCTTCACATTGAAGTCACATTATTGCCACTAAAGGAAAGACAACCCTGATTAATTCATCACAAATCATGTAGTATAAAGAATGCTTACCTGAGACTTCTAATCATATAAATATGTACAATATCACCACCACCACCAACAACAACAACATGTTGAGCCGCCAACCCTTCGTTCTCATGCATTCAAAATTACACTGTTGTTATTACAACCAATAAATGAGATTGATTCGCCTGTACAACACATCTGTGTAAATCTGGTGCAACAAGACTGAGATGAGCATGCGAAAATTCACACGGTGGAAAGATATGCACTACATACAAACCCTATAATAAAGAAATAGAAAACAGAAACAGAGAAAATAGGTTAGTTAATCACAATAAAAACACGTCTATAGATGTATGTTTCGATTATTTTATTTTATTTATTTAAACGCAGAAAAAAATGTGGTACAGTATGGCACCAAGAAAGATGCGCCACACAATAAGGATAATAAAAAAACAAATTTAAAGTAAAAATATATAAGTAGAGAACGGATAAAGAACTTCATCTGGAAGGAAAACAGTCATATTTAGCAAGTTCAAACAGTATTCGTTAACTATCATCGGGAAGGGAACAAAGAAGAAAATTGCAACACTTTCGCCATTGATTACGATTCTTGGTCATATCCAATAACGTTTCGAGCCATCAATTCAAGCTATCTCGCGGACCCCAACCAGGGAGTCGTGATGCACCAACCGATGCTAATCTGGTACATAAATCCTTCATCCCACGACTCCACGTCGTGGACTGACCACCCCTCCGCCTTTTCCATCCCGTCCCAGGACTGAATAGCGAACACAGACCTGTATGGAAGCCTCTGGGATGAAATTCGCAGCACATGTCCAAGTGACCGGAGCCGGTGTTTACAGATGACGACACTCAATGAATGGTGATCTCCACTATGTTCAAACACACGCCGCTGAACCTCAGTATTACTCACGCGACGATGCCATCGAAAGCAAGCAATCCTGCGGAGACAGCGATGATCGAACACGCAGAGTCGCCGCACATCCTCAGCCTACTGAGAGAGGCCAGGTTTCACCGGCGTAGAGCAAGGCAGCCCGCACCAAAGCATTGTATACCCGATGTTTGACAGCCAGGCTAACGTCGCGACGGCGTCAGAGGTGGGTCAAGTTGATGTATGCCACTCTACGTTTCACTAAAAGGTTGGAAACCTCATCCGTCACCCCTCCGCCACCACTCATACAACTACCCAGATACACGAACTTATCAACAACTTCAAGCGGATCACCCGCAAGAGTGAGTGTAGGTACGGGCTCCTGTCAATCTTGTTACAGTACTTTGCCCTTAGACGGCGCAAAGCACATACCATACTTACAGACACTAATTACTTCTCTCCACAAAATACAAAATACTTATTGATTTAAGTTGTAGAGATATTGTTGGGTTTTCAGAAGAAAAAAACTTTACTTTGATAGATGGACATTACTCGTGGTACATTTTCCCAGAGTGCGGAATTCGTTCTATTTTGACACTCGTCAGCTAAATCCACCTGATGCTGTTCCCACTGATACTCGAAGTGTAAGATGTTATCCATTCAACAGACCACTGTGGCCACGGAAGCCACCTGTAGTGTACAACGGTTATCAGTCATTATTTGTATTTAATTCTCAAGAGTTGCATTGTAGAGATTTGACTTGTCTCAGGTTTCATAATAATAATAGCTTTATTCTGAACAATATTTATAAATTATACCGAATTTTCAGCGGAGTTTATTGCATGATATCATTCTCCCTTCGTCCAGAAAACTTCAAATAAAAGATTAATTGACAGAAGCTCGTGTGACTCAGTTCCATCTGACTGGAAACGAAAACCAATCCATTTCTGTGATATCTCTTCTTTTTCACCTTCGTCGTCGAGATGTACACGACGACAACATTTTGTTGAATGCCAGTCATACAAAGTTCAAGAGTCCATCTTGTGAACCAATGACATCATCACTTAGGAATAGTCATCTCATGTATATTAGGACCTGACCTACCATCAATCGAGGATAATGCTTATTCTCATGTTTAGTAGAAACTTGTGGTGAATCAGAAGGTTGTAAATGTTTTTAAAATACTCGCCAGAGCAAACAAAACTATCGAAATTCATATTTTATTAGATCTAAGCAAATTGAGTAAGAGAAACTGCATGCAATATACTCATGTGAATTTTCGGTAGCCCAAGTTTTAAACTGGCCGCCAACAACCACCACGGACAGCTATTTTATCCTACTTTGGGACTCTTCGGCAGTGCTCATATGCTGGAGAATGGACCCAGATCCATCTGGTTACAAGTCAAGCTCGGAGATCATTCAGGGGCTGGGGAGTGACCTAATGGGTAGGCCAATGAATCCTAATTTCTATCAATGAATGATTTTAAGGTGACCACCAGCCAACATCATCGAGTAGTATTTGTTCTCACCCGCGAGCAGTTGGAGTGACCCTACTGGTCACGATATCTCACTATGCAACTTCAGGCAACTTTGGCCAGTATATCGACAGTGCGACTTTTAGTGCCATTTAATACCTTTTTTCAAGTATTAGTTTTGTAGGGTACTACTGAGCAGTCCCAAACTAGGACGAAACAGCTGTTCAGTACTCCCAGGTTTTCCAGTGGTTCTCTGACTGATGTCAGCTCATGATTAAAGCCTTCATACAATTTAATACCTTCTCCTTAATACAGAAATATGACTCTACAGTCGTACCTGGAAATTAAGTCAATGTAAAAAAACAGTGGTGTTGGATCTTAACTGCTAGTTTTCCAAAGAAATAAGTTTTATGACATTTTATCGACAGTAAGAGGAGGAAGGCAGGAAAAATTAGAATAGATTTACTATAATAACGCCCTGAAGTAACTCTAAAATAGACTAAGAGATAAATCAATAATAGTCTAGAAAGAGAGGGAGAGAGATACACGTTAGACAATCTACACTCACACAAGACACCTTGAAAAAGGAAGGGTAACCAAAATAATCTTTTCATACGCTCTCAGCAGGGTCTGTAAACAAATTCCAACTAGATATATGCTGGTATAGTAGAATATTAGCCAATGAGAGAACAGAGAAAACAAAGCTAATTTATAAACTAGCATATATTCAGCATATTTAGAGGATAGAAAAATTGGACCAGCCCTAGTAAAATGAAAAAAAAGAACAACCAATCAGAATGAAGTACATTGCAGGTCAGACTAAAAAAATGCCATTCATTTTAAGGATGATCGATACAACTGGTCCAAGAAAATAGCTGGTTATATATATATATAAACTGGTTAGCAAAATGTCGATCGATTAGCAGTCCGGGGCAGATTTTTAAATACAAAAATGGGCAAAGGTTATTTGAATATAGAGAGAGATATGAATAGAGATAATAATAATAATAAATACTACTTTGTAGACAGGTCTACCTCTACCACCTACCACCTAAAAACAGACCATCATCATGTGCCTTAACAAATATAAATCGATAAGAATGATGATGTTGATGAGAGGACAGATTTTTTTTATTCTAATTTTCTATTCTACAATTTGATTAGATTTCAGGCGAATAGGAGAGAAAAAAAATACAAACTTAGACTTTGATTAAATATTCATTCTATGCAAGAATGAGAGAATTGGGAATTCATTTGAGACAGAGAAGATGAAAAACTGGCCAAAAGTTAGTTAACATTTAGACACTAGAGAAAATTATAAAAATTCGGAATTGTATATTTTTACAAAAATATCTATTTGGTAGGAATGAAAATTGTTCATTTTATGACTAGCAGTGGAATGCGGAATGTAATATTGTGCTGTCACATTTAGGACCGAAAAACGCGCCCCTATCATTTCACTTCATTAGGAATGTAGGCATATCCAGCTTTTGCAAGTGCTAAAATAGGACAAAATGCATCCGCATCAATTGCTTCCTAACTAAACTTACCTCTTGTAAGTTCAAATCACAGCGAATTCCAAGGAGAGGAATACGTTAATGTCTAAGGTGAAGTTATTCAAGAAGCTATTATTGAGTTAAAAATTGTTGCTGGTGTAGTGGGTAACTGGTTAGAAAGGAGTCTAACCGCATCAAGAGACCCATAAACAAAGTGGTAAGGTCAACGGAAGGTAGACGATTTCAGTCTTCCTCTCGAAATGGTCTAATATTGTGGCCACGAGTTCTTAGCCTGCGCCGAGTTCGCGCCTGAATCGTGACCTTTAAGCGGCAGCTGGGGTACCTCCTCAGAGAAATTTCCTCAGCGAATGTGAACATGTGACGCTTACAGAAGGAGTGGAATGGTGAGGGACATGCTGGTCCATATCTAGGGGATCTAGAAAACTCTGATTCCAAACCTATGTGGTGTACAAGGGGTCCAAAATCTGGACGAGTCGAATGACGTATAGACCCATATTGGTCACCGTCAGCCATGCAATAAGAACTCTGCCTTGCGGATCAGATACCAAATCAAAAGCTGGATGTTCAGGAAGGCTCCCCCCCCCCCAACACTTGTACAAACCATGAGATGTACCAAGTTTCTTTTTCATTGCTGTCACATTGCACAGACGAATATTGAAAATCTTGTTTCAGGCGGAGAATAAACCGTTTAGCGACGAGCACAAACACACACGTATAGTACAGTAGAAGTCGCATCCAATTTACGCGTTACGTAATTAAATTGATGATGGTACAAGTTGCTGAGCCATGAAAACTTGTCAACGATTCAACATTCCCCCTGTTTTATATGGCTGAATTTCACCCTCTTAGGCTTGTCATTTAAAAGATATTATGTGTAATAGCGTGGAGGAGGTGGGAAAATGTAATCACGAAAAGTTTGAGAGACAGGCGAACCGTCACAGGGAACAGAGTACCACCATAAGCATAGCAAAGAATGATTAGGGAACAATTCTGCACAATGGGGTCAGTGGTTCAGCAGAGAAACGCTCGCCAACCACGCCACACGTAGTTCCGGGGGTTAGATCCCCGGTCGACGCACTCCTAACTTTTGTTAGACCGGTGGTCGGCGAAGAGAGAGGCCGGGTTTGGGGGTAGCAACCACTGTTACCAAAACTTCAAAGCCCTATATCTGGGATCGTAAAGGAATAACATAAAAATCAAAATCTGTACACTCACCTGTTGATAATCAGGATGACCAACATTAATGATTCCAGCTGCCATTTTCTCTTGCATGTAACGTATAAAATTTTCATTCAATATTTGTGTTTGTTGTGCCAATTCAACAGGACTGCTACCAGCTGGCAGAGCTAAGCATGCGCATGAAGCACCCTCTTGATTCAGTTTCCGTTGTACACCTTCAAGTTGTGCAGGTTCTAAACGCATCCGTTGAACAATTCTCAGTGGGCCACCACTTGTGATCAATGAGAATTGTGGTTGTCCACCACCACCTGATGCTAGAAGTGTCATACACGCGTTAAGAAGATTATGATTGCCTTGTACAAAATGCAATGCAACACGAGTTTCCATATTCTTCAACGATAAACGACCTTGCCATACAAGAGGATAAGACTGAGCGGGGGAAACAAGAGAAAAACAACATAACAGTATGAACAAAACTTCCTCAAAAACTGTAGGAGAAAAAAATTGTAAACAACAAAACGATTTGCGGTTGGAAAAGAGTTTGGGATGGATGAGACAAACACCAAAACCTGACATCAACCTACGTATCCTCTGACAGTTGGAAAACCAACAAGGAGTACTGAACAACACTTGTTTCATTCCAATTTGGTGCTCTTCAGTCATAAACCAACTCCTCCATAAAAGCCCATCGGGGATCAGTACCCAAGAACTTCAAGTTACATGGGGAGTCCCTTTGACAATGAGACGAAAACCAGTAACCCCCACGGATTTTACCTTCTGCCGATTTACGATTTATGTATATGGCCACGAAACCAGCCAGTGTCACGGACTAGCATTGGTACACTCCATTGGTCACGAGGACATCTCACTAGATCTCCAATCAGCTTCATTCTGTAATCAGTCAGTCACTGGTTTCATCATATTTTCTTCTTTAACTTTCAAGTGTTATCCTTTCTCTATATTGTAGCAACATTCAAACACTACTGCACGCATTTTTGTGCAAAGTTTTGTGTGGATAATTCAGAGAGTAAGTTCTCCTAACCAATGCAATTTAGTAACACGCTTTTAAAAGTCACAGGGAAACACTTAAAACAGTTTATCCTGCCACACTCTACACGACAATGGATATTTAAAAATACCTAGAAATACAAACAGCCCGTTTGCTTGTGTAAAAGACACTTCTCTACATTTTGTCATCTGAACACAATCAATAAAAAAATCGATTACTCTTCACACTGTTGTCTACTGATGATTAACCTTGAGTCAATTTTCGAAAAATTTTTTTCTCATCTCATGATGTAACGGGTAAACTTGCCCGTTTTAAGTGAAATAATACGGTGAATACTAACCAGGGGAGTGGTAGAAGTTAGAATTCATAGGCCATTGAATTGGTTCCTGGCGTCAGTGATTCAGAGGTAGGCATAATCACCAAACAAGCACGTGGCCTGGAGTTCAAATACAGGCCGATGCACACCTAACCCTCGGTAAACCAGCAGTAAACCCAGTAAGGGGGGAAGGGTAGGGACGAGGTTAGCAACCTCACTTCGTAAAAATGACAGCACTGCTACAGAAGCTTTAAACCTCTAGGTTGAAGCCCTATATGTTTCACTAGGAACGCAGAAGAATAAAATAAATATGTAAAAATGAGTTGGATCCTAGTGGCTAAATGGTCTACAAGCTTGCCTTGTAACTGGAAGGTGCTTGGGGGTTCGAAACCCGGCGGCGGGCACACCAAATTAGGGTGACGACATAACTGTCCAGTAAATCCCTACATGGTATTCAATGGTTCTCTAACTGATATCAATATCTGCGGGCAAACTTGAAATAATAACAATTACTGGATAGATAATCAGGTCAAGTCAACCGATAAAGCTAAATCCATTAGAAAATATTTTTGATTGTATCCAATACAGTCCTACAGGTGGACAGTCGCGGGCCTGAATATCTCAGTGGTAACGTCTCTGACCGCAGCACTGGGTGACGAAGGTTAGAATCCCAGAAGGGATATGAGTTCTTCCGAAGTTTCAGATACACCCTGATGATGAGTGATGACAGCGCGAAACCTGGGTTAGGCAAGACTTCCTGCCTATTGCCTCCAATCATCTAATACCAATCATTAGAAAATGGCTAGCACGACACACGTCTAGCATGCTAAGATATCACTTTTACTTGTCGAGTGACATAAAATCAATGGGGATGGCAGTCGTTAGACTAAAACCTGGCATCACATCAATCTATGAAGTTTCTTGATTGTTGATTTGAGAGCCAGACATGTAGAGAGAGGTGTATACTGTGTCTAGTTGAGGTTCTCCAAACTGTCTGTCTGTCTGTTTTAGACATAGAACTTTGCACTGATGTGCACCAGTTCAAGTCGCCACACTCCCTCCATGTATCACACAAAGCAACAGAAGAAATTAGAAGAAATGAATAATAGAGACAGTAAACAGAGGTGTGTGAGACAAAGGGAATAGTAATAACGAATAACAATATAGTTTCATTGGAAATTATAAGTCACAAGGAGTGGATATATCTCCACTAGCCATTGAGAACGATCACTTTGAGCCATATCACTAATTGTTTCCTGTCATTGGTTTTTACCGTCCCAAGGACCCCAACCAGTCAGGAAGTCTACACCTTCCTATGTGGCTGGCTGGCTGGATTAAATTAACTGTTTTGGATTTCATTGACTGATGAAGCCATGTTTTGGTTCAACAACCACTGGCTCTTTTCTATCCTGACCCTATGTCAGCTAACAATACCCGTTGAAGGAGGCGATGGCCAGGTGTGCATCCGTAACACATGCCCTAACCATCTCAGTCGATGTAATTTCACAGCTTCGTCGATTGATTTTCCCTCCTTAACAGCCTAGCACTCGACCGATGCCTAACCTCAATATTGCTCACTTTATCATACCACTACACAGCACGGAATATAGGACGCAGTCACCTGTGATCAAAGACAGCTAGCCTTTTGATGTCCTCCACTCTCAATGGCCAGGTGTCGCTCACAGCCATAAAGAAGGAAGGAGCGGACTGCCAAGCAGTAGACCCTCCCTTTGGTCGATAGACAGTCGGATATCACATCTACTAAGACAGAGGCGGCGTAAACTGGCAGGCATATGCGAAACTAGCCCTCTGTATCGTCAGAGATCAAACCGCTGGCACTGGCTGATGGTACTTCTCAAATAAGTGAAGAGGTCAACGCGCTCCATCAACCACTTCACTGGCTATTTCTAAACTAAGAGTCAAAAGCACCCTTTATTAAGTCCTTTTAAATGTTTTGTCATGATATTCTCCTTGTACACAGTTCTACGTCTAGAATTTAATCGACAGGCAAATTGTCATTTAGCAAAAGAAAAACAAACATAAATTCAATCCACTTTAAGAAATTAAGTCAAAAGATAAAACCAAGCTTACCGATCCTAGTGAATTCCATGATTGCATATCTGAAGAAGTGTTATTGTTATTGCTATTATTATTATTATTACTGTTATTACTACTATTATTATTACTATGATTGTTATTCACTGAAGCTGGATCAGATACAACGGGTAGACGTGATTGAACAACTGGTGGCGATATTATCGTATTCGACGTGGGATCCATTGAATTCATCATTTCAGTGTCTACAGGAGTAATTCTAACTGGAGCAATAAAAGGCGGCTGTTGCTGGTGATGTTGTTGTTGCTGGACAGCAGCAGCAGCAGATGCAGGTCGACGAAGGTGAGGACTTGAAGCATAATTATTAGGATTAGTATTATTATTACTATGGTTAGTATTATTGTTATTCACAGGAATATGTTGAACTGATGGAGACAAACTTTTTGCATGCATTTGTGAGGTATCCGAATGACTACTACTAATCGGGATTGTTGGCTTAACATTACCATTGCATACACGATTCTCTAGCAGCTGTTGAGCTACATGTCTTAGATAAGGATTAACTTGTGTATCAGTTGATGAATTACCATTAAGATTTCGGCGTAGATTACCGCTATTACTGTTATTGTTATTATTATTATTATTAGTAGTAGTATTGTTAGTATTAGTAGTAGCATTCCCCCCATTGAGTGCAGCATGAAATAAAGCCATAGCTACTGAAGGTTCTACATTCCCACCCAATCGATCAATTAATGTCTGTAAGACTGGATTATTTGTCAACGGTGGAATAGCTGACGAAGGATTACGACAACCGCCAACACCAACACCACCTGGAATAACTGGTGATGGTGATGGCACCGGTGGTACTGGTGCATTTGATGATAAATTCCTTGATGTCATTTGATTAACAAGTGGAGAAGGAGGTGGAGGAGGATGCAGAGGAGGATGACTGCCGTTCATAACTGTTGGTGATGAAGGCGGGATAGTGGTGGCAGCAACAGGAGTGAATGACTGTCTTACTATGGTGGATGTGTTATTTTGCGACTGTTGTTGCTGTGGTTGTTGTTGTTGTTGTGAGTGAGAGACTAATGATGAGACATGTGGATTGGATGCATGAGTCATTTGAATATTTGAATATTTCCCCGCCGATGATAATGCTGATGAGGAGGATGACGTAAACACAGGTGGAGGAATCAACTGCTGCTGCTGCTGTTGTGGTGGTGGTGGTTTTTGTTCACTTGATGATGTAAGATGCGGTGGTCGATTATTAGATGCTGACTCCATAGCCATTTGTAATTGATAAAGTGGAGGAGCAGATGATGCTGAGCTGGAGACAATAGACTCATTCGGTTGTTGTAATGACTTAGGATATTGACGATGAGTTAGATTAGGAGGAGGAGGAGTATTCATATTCGTATGCTGTGGTGTAACAAATGGTAATGATTGACCTGAAGCTGTGGACACAATCACCTGTGATGATGGATTCAGTTGTTGTGTAGGCGTATTCATCAAACGATTATGCATAACATTAGACTGAATATTGTTATTGTTATTATTACTATTATTATTAGAGTGGGGTGTAGAAACATTTGGATTAAACACTTTATGCATCATAGTATTCACTTCTTTAACACTAAGTTGTTCATTTTGATTTTTATTAACAACTCCTGCTGATGTCGCTGATGATGATGACGATGACTCTTGTTGATTCCAGTTTAGATTGTTTGTTTTACCTTGATTGTTGGCATTTGTAACAGATAAAACAGCAGCCTAGAAGTATGAACAAAAGAGAGAAAATTATAATATTCAAGTGTTGGTTTGTAGGGATTTTAATTGATTGGTTACAGGACTTCATCATCATGAGCTGACATTAGTTAGAGAACCATTGGAAAACCAGTACTGGGGTTACTGGACAGCTGTTTCGTCAGACTAATTTGGGACTCTTCGACAGTACGCACCCACCACTACACGGTTCGAACCCAGAACCTTCTGATTACAAGGCGAGTTCGTATACCATTAAGCCACTGGGATCCGATCCAGTGGCTAGCCCATGAATTCTAACTTCTGCTAATTCACGACATACCGCGCTCCCTAGCCAATGTCTTCGGCTAGTGGTACAACACAATGCGTGTGACGATGCAGACAGCGTTACTACTCAACAATCTCATTTGCAGCATTTACATATCCCAACCGATAGATAGCTGCTACCCACCTACCTACCTGCCAACCTATCTACCTCGACGTGGTGTGTGGTCAGATTCTCCACATCTCAATGACCTAAATAAGTATAATATACTGAGCGGAATGGATCTCTCCCCACAGGTAGTCCTACTTCACCAGAAAGACCACGTCTCGCGGTTGGCACGGTTCGACTAGAAGCAGTTACCATCATCACATAGCGTCCATCGCCGCTCACACTATAGTTAGTGGGAGTGTGCCTGTAGGCGATGTTGTATTGCAGGCAAATAGGCATGCAACAGCAGTAAGGTGTTTCCCTCAGGTAACTAACAAACCAGCTAGCTATACTGCTTCTCTCATCTCTGAACAAAAGGGCTACGAAAAGGTCGACTTCGAAAACTATACATCCCGACTTGACTTGTAGCGGCCTGTAGCCCTGGGGGGAGGTAAGGTCTTAAAACGTACACAACTTCAAAAACTAACACTAGTTCGAATAGGCTGTGTATAAGGTCGACTTCAAATGTTACCCCACCCCCACCCCACTTAGGCTCTCGAATTCATGTAACACTAATTCTCTTTCTATTTCAGGTAACCCTGACTGCCCAAACCTCGGTAGATAGAGAGGGGTTTGAGCCCGTGACCTGATGTAGTTGCAGGTTGAGCTCTTAAACCAGTGAGTCACACACATACACGCAGGTCCACACCTATTTGAATATAGTCACAAGTGGAATCGTTGTCATATGGTGGTGAAATAAGGCCTTCTATATACCAACGAAATCCACCGACAAACTAAAAGTGATACTGATTACAAGTGAGAAACACATGCAAAATCCTTCATTTCAACTCGATTTAAAACACATATTACTTAATATCAAAAAATATTTCGTGTGTCGGTGGCAAAGTGGTTAGGACTCTCGCCGACTATGCACATGGTCCGAGGTTCGATCCCCTGCCACCGACGCACACCTGATATCTATGGTCGGCCTGCAAAATTTGGGCTACTGATGCTGAAAATTCCATACTTGTACCAAAAATACAGTGTGGAATCAGGTTGTAACCAAAAATAAAAAATCAATAAATAATTCAAACTGATCCATTGTCTGAGTCTCAGTACAGAACTTTGCATAGGTCTTTTGATCGATAGCCAATCGGATATACACTTCTACACCAGAGATGACGTAAGTTAGCGTATGCCACACGAGTCATTTGTACCTGTGCTGAAATTTTGTCAGCAATCATTCCTTTTCGAGCTGAAGCGGGCACCACGCTACCTGTCTTATTTAAGCTAGACATCGGTGCAGATCAGTCCTGCAGCGTCATCTTACACATATGACAGGAGCAAGTCAATCGGTTGCCAAACGCACAAAAATTTCTGTTCAAGGTGTACAGAAGACACTGTGTCTTATCAGAGTTTTCGCCTAGAAAGGACAATATTATCCGCATACTCTAAGTTGATAAGACTGTTCCTCGAGCAACAAGACAACGATCCCAAAGTCATTTAAAGTCAGTTCCCTTGATACATCTACGATGAAATTCAACAGAAAATGAGGATAGTGGGCATCCCTGACAGATAACCCTTGGTTGTCCATCCCCCTTCAGACACAGAGTAGAGAGGAATAATTCAGAAATAGTAACAAATTCAAAATATTATAACAACCAAACGCTCACCTTTATATTCGCTGCCGCTTGTTGTGCTGCATTCACAGGTAGAGTGATAGTCGCTGCAGATATTGTACGTGAATTATTCGCTGTTAAATTTCCAACAACTCCAGCTGCTGCTGCTGGTCCAGTCACTGTTACTTGACTGCCTGGAATAAGTTGAAGTGCAGCAAGTAGAGTGTTTAACACTGCACTTCCAGTCCCAATATTTATACCATTACTTGAATCATTCTTGCCTAAATTACTAGTCTTTCCAGTTGGTATGGTGACAGCAGCAACAATTGGTTCACTTGTAATCGGCAATGAGAATGGTATTCCTGTCGGTGTACCAGTTAGATTGGTTACTATACCTGGATTAGTAGATTGTAATGGTAAACTGGTTGTCGTAACTGTAGGAGTAGTAGTAGTACTACTACTACTACTAATAGTCGTACTGACTGTAGGACACGTTGAAACATTCGATACACTAGTGGTGGTAGGCGCATTTAGACATTCTTGTAGTTGGATAGTGTTGACAGTAACTTTGGGTTGTTGTTGCTGTTGTTGTTGAGTATTAGTTGGTACTCCTGCTGGAGTAGTAGTTATGGTAGTAGGCGGAGGAGCGACGACAGCAGCCGCCGCCGCAGTAGTCGTGGTCGTAGTGGTGGTAGCCGCTGCTGTGGAAATCCAATTTCTAAAGTAGCTTTGAACATCAAAATGACCAGCACACACCTCACTAATCACTTCATCTACTGTATTCACTGAATGACAAGTGGATGGGATATTGACAACAACATTAGGCTGATCAGTATCAGGCTGTGAAGTAGTAGTGATAGCAACAGTTGTTGTTGGTGTTGCTGTCGTAGCTGTTGTTGTACATGGCACCATTTCAGTACTTCGAAGTGGTTTAGAATCAACTATTATAAGTCCTGATGACGATAATGACATTGATGATGATGATGAAGAAGGATTGATTGGTGACGGAGATGAACTAATCGATAAAGAAACAGTAGGAAGTGATGATTGTGAATTTGTCGTTATTGTTGATGTCGTCGTCGCCGTAGAGTTTGTAGTTATTTTGCGCAATTGATGTGAATGATGAACAGAATTCGGTGATGGACACAATGATGGTGAGGCTACTCGATGAGGATGTAACTGGGCTGGATTAAATCCTATTGGTGATTCTTCATCGAAATTTGGTTCATACGGATCAATAGATGTACGGACAACAGCAGCGGCGGCAGTAGCAGTAGGAGTAGTAGTACTTCGCTTCACTTTTTGTATATGATCATTTGAAGAAGATAACACTCCACTATGTGACATTTGTACAGAACTTGTTGATGACAGTACAGAATGATGACTAGACAGGCTAGATTCTATTGACTTAGTCATGATTGTAGATGTTGGAGTACACGAAAAGGTGTTACCAGTACTAGTTGTCATCAAGGATGGATGAATTGGATCTGTTGACACTGAAGTGACAGGCAGGACACTTGCTTTTGATTCAGATCGTCGTTGACGTCGACTGCCTGTTGCAGTAGTAGTTATTGTTGTTGTTGTTGGTGGTGTCGTTGTGACAGGAGTCGAATCTAAACTATCTGCCACACGTTTAGACGATATCTGTGATAAATTATCAAGTGTACTAGAAGATTGTCTTGTTACACGTTGATGTTGGTGATGCGTAGTATTAGTAGGAGTAGTCGTCGGAGTAGTAGTGATCACAGAAACAGCAGTTGGAGTAGGATTGACTTGACTAACAGGTAAATTCAATGGTGCACATGCATTCACTCCAGGTATAGATGGTAATTGTACATCCAATGATGATGATGATGAAACTGTATTGCTTGGTGTAGTAGTACAACAAGAAGTTGTATGAATCACCGACTCATCAATAGGATTATTCAAGATATGTGTTACAGCATTTGGATGAGTAGATTTACCACATCTATTCGACGGTGTGGTATTTTTCACCGGAGCACATGTACTTGCAGTGACTAACAGTGAACGACGTTGTGGACCACTACCACCAGTTCCACTAACAACAACACCACCTCCGCTACTACTATTACCATATGATCGTTTATTATTCGTAGTACTAGTGGTGGAATTGTTATTATGAGGTGATGTGTTGGTGGTGGTAATCAATCCAGGCAATGTATTCATCATCGTCTCATTGGAGCCTTTCAAGCCTTGATTTTGTTGTTGATAGTGATAATGTTGATTATTAATAGAGACAGTTGGAAATGATGTAGTTGACGACGATGCTGTCACAGGAGGTGTGGTACTACCGGTAGTTGTTGAATGATGATACTGATGATGGTTGTGACTGTGATGACAATGAGTTGAATTTGCTGCGGCAGCAGCTGCCGCCGCTGCTGCAGCTTGTTGATTCTCTTCAACACGTTCAGCTTTAACACGTTCAATAACACTTTGTACATAACGTGTAATATCGTGTACTTCGGTAGGCTGGGAATTCAATGGCATTGTTGATGACGATGACGATAAAGAGGTTATAGGCTTCATATTACTATGATTATTATTATTATTGTTATTCAAGTATGATGTCTGACGAGTTACTGGATGATGGATAGAACTATTCTCTGAAGGTGATTGTTTCGTATAAACAGTTTTATTCTCCAGGATTAATGATGAGGCATTATGATTCATTAGCCTTGGAATAACACCCCCACCGCCACCAGCAACACCAACCATCGTTGACGTTGAAACTGGTGTCGATATGGAATCATGCAATTGTGTTGTTATTGCTGTTGTTGTTGTCGTCGTTGTTGCTATGTTTGTGGCAGTAGTAGTAGTAGTAGTAGTAAGCATCGAGGAATTAGAAACAACAATAGCACACGATGAAGATGATGATGATGACAAGGATGTATTGTTGTCAATAATTCTTGGAGATGATTTCGTCAACATCGTCGGTGTCATCATTGCATCACCTCGATTAATAGTAGTAGTAGTAGTCAGAAGAGAATTATTATTATTAGCAATTTTCCCCGGATCAGTGTATGCATTCAGTGATGATAAGGAGGGAACAGTGATTGTAGTAGTGGCAGTAGTAGTAGTAGTAGGGGTAGTAGGATCTGTGGAAGATTTACATGTTCTCAACTGTCCAACTACATTAACCAGCCATGATTGATGATCCTCAGTAACAAGTTTAGAAATATCTTCATGCTTAGTACTATTACTTGCAGCAGGAGCCACAGAAGCAGTAGTCACCGAAGGTAACGAAAGTGTTGGCGGTAGGTCATTATTATCATTATTATCCACTTTGGGTGTATTGACGATGCCTATAGGTGATTGAATTGAAGGCGGTGGGAGAGCAGGAGAAGAGTTCTTCAGCTCAGATTTATCAATTTTCATTGAAGGCAATTCTTCATCTTCTTCAACACAAACAGGTGTTGATGTTCGTCGATCTTCTAAGTCTTGTTTATTGAACGAGAGATGTTGTCGTTTATCATCGATAGGAGATAGTCGATTCATTTGATTTGGTGAATTGGACACCTTTACAATATTACTATTACTATTAGTATTAGCATTATTATTGTCATTATTATAATTCTGACATTCTGATTCACCGAAACTACTGTCAAATTTCTTTTCATCTTCATGAAGACATAAAGAGAAAGAAGAAGAGGATAAAATATGTTGATTTTTTACACTATGGATGATAGAAGACGGCTTCTCATCATCGCCATCGCCAACATCACCATCATCTGATGACGATTCTATCATCATAGAATGAGATGATAACAGCTTTCCAACAGGTGAATTACACTGATGATGATAGGTATGCTTGAGTTCAGTTTTATTATCGCCTCCTCCTCTTTCTACTCCACTTCCGCCTAGCAGTTCACAATCTTCACCAACTTCATCATTACGACAGGCACGACTGCCGGCCCCGCAATCATCATCCTCATCAAATTCTAGATGGACTGGATGCGGTGAACTTGATGCTAAACCAGAATGCCAGTCATCATCCTCTTCATCATCATTTTCTCCGTCGTCAGTTGTAGTATGGAATTTCATCAGGCATGGACTATTACTATTCATCATCATGACATCATCTTCTTCGTCAACATCCTCATGATTGTCATCCACATCCTCATCGTCGAGTTCACCTTGTTCCATTGGTTCTGTTGATATAGTCGATTTTGAATTAGCTGAAAGACGATCTGAATCAAGTAAGGCATCAAACAACATTGAATCACCGCCGCCACCAATACCAACACCTCTGGATTGATGAAGACGATTACTTAGCGTATTCAAAGTGAACAGATCATCGGTTTCTTTTTTCTGTTTTCTAGCATAATCATCTGATTCATGATGATGATGATGACGCTGATGATGACTGTGATGGTGAAGATGATGATAACGTCTTGAATTTGGACTGTGCAATAAATGAGATTTATAATTATATAAAAGATGAGATTCATTTGAAAAGCTTTCTTCATGATCATCATTTTCACTAGGCAGCATACCACCAGGTGATGATGATGATAATGATGTCAAGAATATAGTGGATGATGATTTTCGAGTTTTATGAATCAGTGTTGTTGCTGTTGTACCCCGACTACTACTATTACGACCACCATTGATAAAAAAGTTACCGTCTTTAACATCTTCTTCAATTTCAGAGTCTATCATTGTACCATTTTCTTCCTCCTCATCAGAGAAATAGGATTGTTTAGCCCTATGAAGACGATGACGTTGTTGTTGTTGCCGATGTTCTCGATGTCGAAGTCCCTCTCGTTTTCGGTGATGTAGAGAAGGAGAAGGATGGTGATGATTACGGAGGCTCGAAAGTTTCGGTGATGAACAATATCGATTATGATTTACAGCAGAATTGTACATTTTATTATTATTATTATTGTTAGTATCATTCCCGTTGTTTCTACTTTTCGTAGTATCATTAGTAGTAGTATTGTTATTCACAACACTAAGCTTTTTACGTTTATTCGGATGATGTATATCAGAAGTGGACTTTGATGAATAATTATCATTATGTCGTCTTTTTAACAGGTTACTATTACTATTATTATTATTATTATTATGATCATATAGAATTTTATCTGAAGATAATTTACGTTTCTCGGCATTACTATTATTACTATTGTTAGTATTGGTTGATGACAGAGATTTGAAGAGCTGTTTCTCTGTTCTTCTACTGGTGGGATTGTTGTTAACACCAACGCCAGTAGGCGCAGTCGTCTTTTTGCTGCTGCTGTTGTTGGTGGTGTTATGATGAGATTTTGATTTCTTCTCTGTCTTTGTCGTTGTTGCTGGTGTCGTGGACATCTTCCAATCTGATGTAATTGATTTATTATTATTATTTCTACTTTCATTTATGTCCCTCCAATTACGATTGTATGGTGTAGATGAATTAAAGCCCGTTGTTGTTGTTGTTGTGGGGATGGTGGTGTTGGTGTTGTAATTACTGTTCAATTTATTTGTTGAATGATCATAATGATCAGATTTTCGTTTGTTTGAATTCTTCAATCTTAAAACAATATTATGCTTACGTCTGTCAGCGCCAACACCAACACCATCATCATCCGCATCCGCATCACCATCACCATCATTGTTACTTGAATAGGATAAAGATGAACTCAACTGGCTTAATCTGTCATCCGCCTCCTCCTCATCATCGTGGTGGTGATGGCGGTGATGGTTATTATGGTATTTATGATCATTATTATCACGATGATGATTGAGATTCTCGCCGTCTTCATCGCTTAAATTTGACCATTTATTATGATTACGATTCGGTGGAGTAGATTTTGTCGGTCGTATACACTCATGATAGGTAGCTGAGACAGGGAATCGCATGCCTAAACTTAATCGTGTTAATGTTTCTGGTGGAGAGTTGGAATGACATTCATCATCCTCCTCGTCACCATTATCATTATGGTCAACGACGTCGTCGTCATCATCAGTAGATAATAATGACGAGGATAATGATGAACTGACAATACTTCTTCTTCGTCTTCTTCTCCGATGATGATGTTCATGATGGTGATGACGTCGACGAGCACTGTGATGATCCCGATCTTGATCTCGATCACGATCACGATGATGATGTTGTTGATGGGAAGGATAATCATGTTTTCCACTTGATAATGTATTATTATTATTATCAATAGTCATTGTATTATTATTTCTGGACATTCGACGTGAATATAAATCAGATTCATTTGGATTAGTACATAATCGATCTGTGCGTGAATTCCATTGAGATGAGGATAAGTGATTGATAGTATTGTTATTATTATTGTCTTCAAGGAAAGAGTGTACTGTAGGCATTGTTTCAGGCTTTTGTCGTTTATTTGACAAGGATCGATTATTGTGATTATTAGTATTATTCCCGTCTACTTTACATCTTGAACTTGTACTTGTCGTTGAATGATGCGATGAAGATGATGCTGAGGATTTATGGCCACACCCACCACCCATACTCGACGGATATGTATTCAGCTTACCACTACCCCCACAACCACTACCACCATCACTGTAATGATGTTGTTCATTACTCAAGGAATCCGGCGATGACATTTGCATTATATGATGACCAGTTAATGATGATGATGACGGTGAAGTTGTATTCAGTTGTTGTTGATGGTGGTGGTGCTGTTCCTCTTTTTTTCTTTGTTTTTTATTCTTTTTCTCACGTGTTGCATCAAGTTGACGTTGACGACGTTCTTCAGCTTCTTTGTTTGTACGACGTTTTATTTTATCATACATTGATTCATACACAGGGGATTCATTACTCCACCAATCTGTTAAACAATCATTATTATTTGTTATTGTTCCACTACCATCACCACCAGTCGGTTCAATTCCAATACTATGACGTCTAGGATCAGTAGTTGTTGATGATGAACATGAAGATGAATGACGTGATGTCTTACCCCCACCACCACTACCACGACTACTCCGCATACCAAGTGGTGGAGCTGAAACTGGTGTCAACGGTAAAGAATCATGTTTATTGTGAATACTACCACTGTTAACATCGCTAGTTTCTGAAAGACTACCTGGTGAGATTAGATTACTACTACTTGATTGACAGGATCTATGATGAATACCAGTCAGTTTAATGGAAACTGTTAAAGGTGTCGTGGTCGTCGTGGTGCTGGTGGTGGCGGCGGTTGCAGTTGTAGTAGACAGACTGTTAGAATTTGGCGGTGATGATGACAATGATGTCAGTGTAGAATTCGATGGTAGGAGATGTACTCCTCCTCCTCCTCCTATATGATGACTTTTTTTACTTCTCAGTGAAGGAGATGACGATGAAGATGATGAAGTCACTTTCAATTGATATTGAGACTGTTGATTCGACGATTTTAATTGACAAGGATGATGATTTGTTGTTGCTGTTGTTAACGGACTACTACTCCCAGTACTTCCACTTCCACTGCTATTTGTACTACTATTACTACTACTAATAAAACTTGGCCCACCACTACTTACTCCGCTGCTCCCTCCACTAGTAGAATATACTCTTGTCGGCAGTGGTGGCGGTGTTGGACTCACTCTAAACTCTCCGCCCATCATTATTAAACCTGTTGGCGGTGTTGTTGTAGTATGACTGATGACTGGTTGGGTAATCGTAGTAGTCGACGTCGGCGTAGACGTAGGAGTGGTTGTTGACAGTCTCAACGATGAATGATGAGGAGGATGCTGATTCGTCGATGGACCAAGGAATTCATATTGACAACTATTCGATAGATTTTCTACTAAACCACTAGTATTATTATTATTACTACTAGGGGTTCGACGAACACTACTGTTGTTTGAGGTATTACTACCACCCAACAGAGAAGAACACGATCCTCCAGGACTAGAAAGACGACCTCCACCACCAGAGGAATTCATTGTCATCAATCTCAAAGGTTGTTGTTGCATAAATGATGAATCCGAGTTTGGATCAGTTAACCAGGATGAATTTGAATCACCAGCTGACTTTGCAGTCGACGAAGACGAGTGTAACGATGATGATGAATCCGCAGTCTTTTTTGAACGATTGTCTTCTTTCTTTAATAATTTATTTGTATGCAGCATAGATTTCTGTTGTAATTTGATAGGATCACATTTTCCACTGGATAAAGAGGATAAATTACGTTCTGTAGGCTTATTCAAGCGTTTATCACTGTTATTATCATTATCGATATCCATAGGAGTCGTAGTTGTATTCGTCAGAGTCGGCGAAGCCGTCGTCATCGTAGTGGTATGTGAATCAAGAGATTTTGAAACTTTATGACTACTGTTATTGTTGTGACTGGTGGTATTGATTTTTCCTGATAAGGTTTTATTATTATTATTATTGTTAGTGGTGATAGTCGTATTCTGACGTCGACGATGACGAGACGAAGCGCTTCTAGACGATATCGATGTACCACTACTGCCAGTACTACTACTACTGCTGAGACTACTGACACTGCTACTGCTAACACTACTAATACTACTGCTGGAACTTGTACTACTGCTGCTGGTCGAACTATCATCATCGTCGTCATCACTGCTCACACTTGTACTACTACTACTGCTCATACTGCTTGTACTCAAACTACTAGCCGGACTAGTCCCGTCATGTGAACGTTTTAAACAATTTCTTGATAATTGTTGTTGAGGATACGAGGCGGTGGAGACGGCAGTGGCAGTCGCGGTGGCGGTGACTGCCGCAGAAGCGGCAGCAACACGATTTGACAACAACACATTACTATTATTGTTGTTGTTTGACTGAGTAGTCTGAGGTTGAGAAGGGATACGATGATCAGTCGAAGATTTCGAATTTGATCGTGTTGTTGATGACGACTTATGACGACTAGATATTCTTCCTCCTTCTCCCCCAACATCGGATTGTTTATTCATCGATGATGTTCGTGTTGTTGTTGTTGTTGTCGGTGGCGTTGAACTGTTCAACAGATTATCTTGATTAAAAGGAGGAATAGTATGACTAGATGCAGAGGTGATTGTTGGCTGTGATGTTGTCGTTGTTCTACTGTTGCTATTCGTCGTCGTCGTTGTCGTAGTCGTAGTACTATACAACAAGGAGGCTTTTGTATGCACATTGTTACCGCAATCCATTGATTTTGATGTCAGCGTTGTACTGGCTAATGATGCACTAGGTAATTGTAGATTACTATTACTATTATTGGTCGATGCTTTACTCATCGCGGAATCCCATCGATCGATTGAATTTGAAGCAGAGAAGGCGGAGGAACAGGAGGAGGAGGAGATAATTTTAACACGATGTGAATTAAGTGATGATCTAAAATGTATAATAGAGAGAGAAAGAAAAGGACGGAAGGTAAAGTATTAGGAAACATTACCATCCAGTTATTAATAGTATATATATTTTTTAAATTTTTAAAATATTTGTGCGTTGAAGTTTTTCTGTAGCTCTTTATCCGGGCTTGGAATCGGTTAGAAAACTAGAGAGCTGGTAGTCTAGGCGACGGAACAAAAAAAAACAAGAACCAATCGCCAACCAACAAATATGCAGTTGGAGAAAGTGGATTGAGATGGACTGGACACTTGCCCACTGAGGAGGCATAGCGCTGGGTGACATCGCACGCGCGTCAGGCCGTCGCTCGAGTGGAACCAGGCCGAAAGGAAAGCGGCGAGTGGGACGTCAGTGCAAGGGTGACATGGAGGAGATCGTGTGAAGAGGAGTTGATAGAGTATGGACTAACATGGATGGATGCAGGTGAAAAGTACAGCAGAAGGAAGAGAGGAGTGGCAAGTGGAGACGTGGAGTTGAAGCCATATGTTCCACTAGGAACCCAAGGGAACAATAAAAATAACAATAGTATTAATAGTATATCAATACCACTATATATGTAAGAAACAGGCTATCGACCGGTCAGAACGGATAAGCAACACAAAACTTTGACATGTGGCAATAAACCACCAACCAACAAATACTAAGGAGTACCGACCGGATGACTGTTTCGGCTTACTTCGGGACTCTTCATCAGTCCACACCTACCACGATGGTTTGAATCTAAGAACTTCTGGTTGGTTACAAGGCAAGTTTGTTGACCACTCACTCAGCCAATGAGACCCGATGCAATAACCCATGAATCCCAATTGCATCCACTTTCATAGGTGAGTGACAGTTCTCTTGCCAAACTTGGTGGACCCCACTGGTTACAACTTCTCACTCTACCAGTTAGGAGTCCCTAAACTGCGACGAAACAGTTATCCATGACTCGCATATTTTCCAATGGTTCTCTAACTCATATCAACACTCGTCATCAAAACTGTGTATCCAATCAAATTTCTGCAAACCAACACACACACACACACGCACTTGATAAATATGCAAAAGGCAATCAAAATGGAATCGGATATACACACGCATGAGAAGAGATAGATAGATCGTCATCAAGTGACATAACACGTCAACAAACAGGTCATCGAATGAAGCGAGGAGTTTGATTGTCAGTGCGACGTTGAAATAGGCATTATAGGAGAAAAAATGAAGGTGACGTTAAGTGCACTGAACACACTGAAGCATTTCATTCAGACAGCGTTCAATTCATCAACTGACCATAGGATCAGCCAGATAACCAGTTTAAATGGGATACAGCAACGAGGAACTCTACCTGGCAGCATAAACCAACCAACCAATGAAAAAAATACATAAGGACATCTAGATGGATCTTTAAGTGGCACCATGAGGCGTTAGAAAGGCTGTCGAATTAATACCTAACTGCGTGTCAAGTCCAAAAGTGTGAAATGGAGTTCCTTTGGAGAGATGACAGTTTGCAGCAAGCAGTCGTATACTACTATAATTCGTCCCTTAGGTTCCAAATGAAACACAGGGAGGGCTTCACCGGTTGTAAAGTCACTTTAAACCAGTGGCATAATAACGGTGTCGCTGCCAACACTCTAAGTCCCACTGAATGTCTATTCTCCCTACATCATAACGATAGATAATAACCGGCAAATTTCAAAATGAAAACACCTCAATGACACAAGCTATTATTAATGGGATTGAGTTGTACAGTTAAGTCAAACAATCAATCCAGCGTGAGTCCCAAAAGCTCAGTGTGTGCAGTGGTAACAACATCATAGATGTGAATTCACCTAATTCCGTCGACATTATTGTAAACGTCCAAACTGCTGATGAAAGTACCACAAATAACCGTCTCCAATCACCAAGAAAAATAAATAAAGTCTTGATAATAATTTATACAAGAAGACAACTAGTACTAGGAATGCAGCAAATGTATTTGATCTAAACGTTATGGGAATATATAATCCTTTATATTGACTTCTTGTTCCTGTATCTGAGGAAATGCAATTGGGGGAGGGGCGGGGAGGTGGAGAGAGTGCTGATGACATTCAGACAATATGGATTAAGATCATTACTCGCATGAGTTCAGATATCTGTCGACTACAACCTTTAATACCCATCTCCTCAATATGACACAGTCATTTTTTGAGAAAGACCAAATAATAGACGAAAATAGATGCAAGATGCAAGAGTTAACAAATTGCAAAAAGTAGAGGTTGCCTGATACCTAATGCAGAAGGTTAAACGACGAAATATTTTCTTAGAAATCAACAAGATATGCGATGTGACCACGAAAGATCACAGGATTATAACTATTTTCCAAGGTATTTTCATGTATTGGTTTACAGGGATTTGATTGATTGGTTATAGGATTTCATCATGACATGGGCTGACATCGGTTAGAGAACCACTGGAAAGCTAACTACGGAATACTGGACAGCTGTTTCGTCAGACTAGTTCGGGACTCTTCATCAGTACACACCCAAGGTATTTAATGTTTGACACTATGCCACAAAAACATCATACTGAACGAACTATGTCTGAAGGTGAATTGATGAACTAACTGTGATTACTGGCCAATGTGTCAGACGGAAAGCTGTTCAATTTTTTAACAGTCAGATCGGGAAGAAACTGGTAACCAAAAACAAAGCAACTCAAATCATCAGCGCACTTAAGAAAGATTTGATTTCTTCCGAAGGAGGTAAGTTGTTGATGGTTGGAGTCAAGGCGTAGATGCAACCTTGAAGGAACTCATGTCCCTTCTCAGGTAAGTTGTGTTAAAAGAATGAAAAAAAGAAGCGCGGCAAGGGGGAGGAGAAAAAACAGCACCTTGAGGGACATACACCAGGTTAAACTAAGTAGGGCAAAGGAAGGTAAATTTGCGTCGGTGGCACAGTGGTTAGGACTCTCACCGATCATGCACATGGTCTGGAGTTCGACTCCCCCGGGCGAAGCACAACCTGATATCTATGGTAGACCTGCAAAATTTGGGCTACCGATATTCATGCTGAAAATTCCATACTTGTACCAAAAATACAGTGTGGAATCTAGCTGTAATCAAAACAAAAGAAACATAACCTAACTTAACAAAATAACATACCTTGAAGCATTCAACTGTAAATTAGCAACAATATTTGATTGTCTAGGACTGGCAAAATCAACTGCTATAGGACGTCGTGTTGATGACGCCTTATCTGAATCAGTAGATGACGTTGTTGTTGTTGTTGTCGCTGACGTTGTGGTTGACGCGGATGATGATGATAACACTGAATACTTGCCAGAGCGTAATTCATTTAATAAACGTATTGCATGTTCAGTAGAATTTAATTTAATATAAGCAGCACAATGTGGTGTTTGAGTGGATGACTGTGATTGTGATGGTGATGTCGACGCAGATATCGATCCAGTCGATTGAGTTCGTGAACTTTGATCATTACGATTGATAAGAGCGATCTGAAATGGAGTAATAATAGTAAATAATAATAATTACTATTATTATCAGTGTATTTTGATCCTAAAAACATTTGTATGTATGACATATTTACACTCTGCGTGTGGTGGTGAGCCATTTAGCTTTATCAAAACATTAACGAAGATATTTCAATAATAATAATAATGGCGGCATTGTCTAGGAGGGCTTTAAGTGTGCTTTTCTAATTCACTAGAAATAGGATTCATTATTGTCGGATGGTCAGTGGCATAGCGGTTAGGACGCTCGCCAACCATGCACATGGTCCGGGATTCGATCCCCGGCCACAGACGCATTCCCAAACCTCGCTAAGCCAGAAATAATGCTGGTAAAGAGGAAAGGTTGGGCATGAGGCTAGCGATCCCATCTTGTAAAATAAACACTGCTACAGAAACTTCAAGCCACCAGCTTGAAGCCCTATGTTCCACTGGGTCGAATGGTCACCGCTAGCTAGCTGTCATCATCCAAACGATCACCACAATCAAACTGCTCATAAACAGTGACCATAATGAATGAAAACCTCGTGGAACCCGAAACGGAGGCGGCGAGTGGGACGTCAGTGCAAGGGTGACATGGAGGAGATCGTGTGAAGAGGAGTTGATAGAGTATGGACTAACGTGGATGCAGGTAAAAAGTACAGCAGAAGGAAGACAGAAGTGGCAAGTGGAGACGTGAAGTTGAAGCCCTATGTTTCACTAGGAACCCAAGGGAATTATTATAATGAATGAAGGAACAATATTCTTTCATAACTGACTGACTGGTTTCAACATACGACTTTTCACAGATGCCCAGAAGTCCCAACCACCACACTCCCTCCATGTATCACACAAATCAACAGAAGAGAGTAAAGACAGATTCAACAGAGGCAGAGAGAGAGAGAGAGAATAAACAGAAGTGTGAGTGATGGAAAAAGAATAGTAAAAATATGGTGGAAGAACAATAGAGTTTTATTGGATATGTTTAGTCAAAAAGAGTGAATGCATCTGCACCATTAACATCAATTTCGACCCATATCACCAATAATTGTCTCCAGGCTTTATTGGTTCTTAGAATCCTAAGGACCCCAACAACCAGACAGCCAGTCTATACCTCTCCCCTACGTGACTAGTTTAAACTAGATGTTAAAATATTCCATGGACTGTGATTTCAAGTTTTAGTTTGACCATGCGTAACACATTTGACACATGTCCTAACCATTTCAATCGATATATAGCTTCACAACCTCATCATCAATTGACTTCCCCTGGATACCAAACACCAGAGTTAAAACCTCATCCTCCCGTAGGAGAGTTAAAACGTAGAGCTAGGTATATCGGTCGTTCGACTCGAGTTTTGTCCAAGAGGGTGCAAGAACATTATCCTGCATGGCTACGAAAAGGTGGAAGTGGAGCAATAAGAAGCGCGATCATAGAACATCTGGTCGAAAATGATCACCCTATCTCTATAGCCTCCGCCTTTAAAGTCATCTACAAGGCAAAGAGCAATTTACCTAAATCCCTACGTACCCGACTCATCTGTATTGCTGAAGCTTTGGCTATCGAAACAGAAAAGCCAGATCTCTGTGTACAGAAAAAGTTCGTTCAACCCCTCCAACTTTCATGGTCTTAATCCCTCTATGCTAAAATATGATAATCCCCAATCATATTTTAGCTCTACCAATTTTTCATTTTTCATTTTGTCTATTCAATTTGTATACTCTTCCTTATTAAGTCAATTGTTATTATTACTATTCTCACTTTGAACTGTCCCCGGTATTATTTCACTTGTTCCACTTGTCATTTTAAATCAATTCTTTTTTACAACGATAAATTCTATGCTATTAAATTTCACACAATATTACGTAACGTTTTTGTTTTATTCGATTTGCCTACTAATCCTATAATTGCACATCCTTTTTCAAGTTCTATCCCTCCTATGAATTATTCTATATATGACATTAATCTGCTTTGCCACTTGACATTTAACTACGATTATAATCACAAACATTTTAGTTTTAATTGAACTTCATATGATTATTATTATTATTATTTTGTGCATTCACACCTAAGATTCAATTCCCTCACCGGATATAACTTCTGATAAACCATATATATACGACTGTACAGCTTGATGATAAATTCGTTGAAAAGAGTCTCTTCGCTGAATCACTTGTTTTGATTTTCTAAATGTTACAATGGGAATTTTCCATGAGTTAAAAAATAGCAAAGATCCCTCGACAGTAAAGGAACTCAACGGGTTCCTGCGTTATTCTGTCAAACTTGCCGTGGTGAATGCAGAGATTTGTTTTCTTAATGAATGCATCAATAATCATGAGTATCCGAAATGGTATTGGAAAGTGCTCCGACGCAATCACATATATCCTAATGCAAAATCTCTCAAGAGACACGCATTAAATCACATTGATTCTATCAGTTCACGTATCCCTGAGCTAGAAAGGAATATATCACAAAGATCTTCTGCTCTATATGACTTATCGGTTGATGAACGTCAGACGTTTAATGATTATGTCAATGTGGTCACCAACAAACAAACTATGTCTTTTAATTCAAAGCTATCCAATAGCCTAAAACCTATCGAACGTCTTCGAAAATTTCCTGAGAATTCTGAGAGATACGTGTTCAACCACTCCTCTATATCTTTATCGAAATTACAAATGGAAGCCTTGTCTATGGGCTCGAAGTTTTGCGATGTTAATCTCAATATCAACAAGCTACATACTCATGTCCAGTTTGAGAATTTACTCAGTCAAACCTATGATCTCACACCATCGTCAGACCAGGATTTCCAATGCTTCAAATCTACCATTACGGACTCCTGCAATCAATACCTTAATGCTAGACCAAAAATGCAAAGTCTTCTTACTAAACAGCACAAAGAAGAACTTAAACTTTTGACGCATAACAGCGATATACTATTAACACGCCCTGACAAGGGTACAGGTGTTGTTATTATGGATCGCAAAGATTATATCGATAAAATGTCATGTCTACTTTCAGACAGCAGTAAATTCTCGAAACCGAACGAGAAAAACAAGACGGAATTAATTGAGAAACAACTTACCGATACTTTAAAGAGAATGAAGAACAATCATCTCATTCGTGAAGAATTATACGAAAAGATCAGACCAACAGGATCTCTAATACCAAGACTGTATGGTCTACCGAAAATACACAAAGCTGGAGTTCCACTTCGCCCTATCTTGGATATGTCTGGATCGCCCTATCATCCAGTAGCTGGGTGGTTAGCTGAAATCCTCGAACCAGTCAGGGGGCAACTATCTAATCATTCCCTTCGGGACACCTTCCAATTTGTTGAATGTATACAGGATATAAATGCGTCGAATAAACAAATGTTGTCTTTGGATGTAGAATCCTTATTTACGAACGTTCCACTGACAGAGACCATATGTTTTATATGCAAATATATTGAAGACAACAAATTGAACATAGGGATACCTACTACAGATCTTAAAGAACTACTTTTGAGATGTACATTGAATGTACAGTTTACTTTCAATGAAACAATCTACAGGCAGAAGGATGGTATTGCGATGGGTTCTCCCTTGGGTCCTCTCCTTGCAGACGTTTTTATGTCCAGTCTAGAAAATGGTTCCCTGAAGCCTATGATCCAAAGCTTTCAAATATATAAAAGGTATGTAGATGACACCTTTATTATTTGTAATATTGATTGTAACCTGAATAATATATTAAATGTATTTAATGAGTGCCATCCTGCGATAAAATTCACACTCGAAATGGAGAACGAGTCTAGCATTCATTTCCTCGATGTGAACTTATCAAGAAGGACCGATGGAACTCTGAAGAGATCGATTTATCGTAGGCTGTTATGGAATGGTCAACTGACAAATTTCTATAGCTGGGTACCTATTGGTCGAAAACGAAACCTGGTCCGGTCGCTTGCCACTCGTATTCGGCGCATTTGTAGCACTGATACTGTGGAAGATGAGATATACACTTTGAGGAAAATCCTAATGGAAAATGGATTTCCACCACGTTTTATAGATAAGAATATACATTCAAAGCCTACAAAACGTGACTTATCAACCGCTCCCAAGAAAATACTTTACATGAGCTTAGAATTCAAAGGGGACTTAGCTTCCGATATCATGAAACGAAGGATATCACAGTCCCTGAAAAGAACATTCCCTGCTGCCTCCCTGAGAATAGCTTTTACTAGCCGACCATTATTGTTCAATAACCTGAAGGACAAGATCCCAATGTTGACCAACTCTATGTGCGTTTATCAATTCACCTGCTCTTGTGGAGCTAGGTATATCGGTCGTTCGACTCGAGTTTTGTCCAAGAGGGTGCAAGAACATTATCCTGCATGGCTACGAAAAGGTGGAAGTGGAGCAATAAGAAGCGCGATCATAGAACATCTGGTCGAAAATGATCACCCTATCTCTATAGCCTCCGCCTTTAAAGTCATCTACAAGGCAAAGAGCAATTTACCTAAATCCCTACGTACCCGACTCATCTGTATTGCTGAAGCTTTGGCTATCGAAACAGAAAAGCCAGATCTCTGTGTACAGAAAAAGTTCGTTCAACCCCTCCAACTTTCATGGTCTTAATCCCTCTATGCTAAAATATGATAATCCCCAATCATATTTTAGCTCTACCAATTTTTCATTTTTCATTTTGTCTATTCAATTTGTATACTCTTCCTTATTAAGTCAATTGTTATTATTACTATTCTCACTTTGAACTGTCCCCGGTATTATTTCACTTGTTCCACTTGTCATTTTAAATCAATTCTTTTTTACAACGATAAATTCTATGCTATTAAATTTCACACAATATTACGTAACGTTTTTGTTTTATTCGATTTGCCTACTAATCCTATAATTGCACATCCTTTTTCAAGTTCTATCCCTCCTATGAATTATTCTATATATGACATTAATCTGCTTTGCCACTTGACATTTAACTACGATTATAATCACAAACATTTTAGTTTTAATTGA